CTGTGCGGACCCCTGAGATCAGCGAGTTGGAAAAACGTCTTGGTCTCTGCAATTGTGGCTCTGCCAAATCTCAACACACTTCATCAGTACCTAAGCCAAGTGTCATCTCGCCATACTTCATCAGACGATCTGCACATCATCCTCGGCTCATCGCCAAGACTGCTAGGGCCACTTCTCACTCTTCCCGCCAGACACACCGAACTCGCCCGTGTTGCTCCACTAACCTTGATCCACAAAGCATTATAAAAAAAAAAAAAAAAAAAAAAACTCTTTGTGCGTGCAGATGTCCCCTTTTTTTCCAACAAAAGAAGAAACCGTCAAGTTTACAGGATAGTATGACTGTCTTTCACCCAATGCCTACCTTTTTCGCAGGGGGGGTGGACTCCCATCCCTGTCGGGTTGGTCAACCAAAATTAGCTTCACACCCCAATGTTTTGCGATGGATGAACCAAGCCGAGCCAGTCTGGTTGGGCGGTTTTAAGCTTCCCTCATTGTTTCTCGGCTTCCTTGGAATCCAAACCGTGTCAAGATATCTAAGGACCCAGAAACGAAGATGAAGGGAGGCGTTTCGACCAAAAAACTCACCTTTCACACAACTTGTCACACCTCCCACTCCATTCACCTACCTCAAAAAAAAAAAAAAAAAAAATCTTTTGCGCGAGGGGGGGTGGTTGTGACGCAAGCGCCACAGCTTCATGGCGTAAGGCGCTAGCATGCCGTTCAACCGCTCTTTTTCTTGGACCAATTTTTTCTAAGCTTAGCCGGCTCGTCTCTTCTCTCGCCCCTGTCTGCCCGCTGCCGTGATTTGACGAACTTCGAGTCTTCAAACTTCGTACAGAATGAACAATAATCAAGCTAAGTTAACTTATTAGTTTTAAGTAAAATATTAAAATATGTTAGGCTAGAGGTAAATCTCAGGGGGGGGGAAGCCACTGGCTTCGCAGGTACGCTGGAAAATGTAGTAAATAACTATCAAGTTTGATTCCGCCTAACGGAATCAAACAATCCTTTTCATGTTTCGAAGCCACATGTTCCAAGAGATTAAATTGCCGGTTAGAGGGGTTGCTTAGTTCATCTACCAGTTACAATTCAACCAATTCTTGCTTCAATCAGGTTTTTCTTATATATATTTATATATTAGTTTGGAAGGTGTCAACCAAAATTAGGGTATTTAAGTGTGTTAGTTAAATAAGTGTAATCAAAGCTGGGTGGGGCTGTCTTCCTGGTCTGGGTAAAAGGTCCAATTCTCTGGGCCCCCATCGCACTTTTCCAGTAATCCAAGGTAATACTGACAACCAGAATAGTTTAAAACCATATCACAAGACTACCACCACCACATGGCAGAGGCTGGCACACACTGGCATGACGTGCAAAACAGCACAGGTGGAACTTGTCCGTTACCCTTACAAAACAATCACACATAGTCTGAGTACAGTACCATGTTGGACATGTGGTCCTCGCAGGAACTGAACTCGTCAGGTGATGGCAGAGGCTGGCACACGCTGGCATGACGTGCAAGACAGCACAGGCGGAACTTGTCTGTTACCCTAACAAAACAATCACACATAGTCTGAGTACAGTACCATGTTTGACATGTGGTCCTCGCAGGAACTGAACTCGTCAGGTGATGGCAGAGGCTGGCACACGCTGGCATGACGTGCAAGACAGCACAGGCGGAACTTGTCTGTTACCCTAACAAAACAATCACACATAGTCTGAGTACAGTACCATGTTTGACATGTGGTCCTCGCAGGAACTGAACTCGTCAGGTGGTGGCAGACATACGCTGGCATGACGTGCAAAACAGCACAGGTGGATTTTGTCCGTTACCCTTACAAAACAATCACACATAGTCTGAGTACAGTACCATGTTTAACATGTGGTCCCCACAGGTACTGAACTTGTCAGGTGGTGGCAGACATACGCTGGCATGACGTGCAAGACAGCACAGGTGGAACTCGTCTGTTACCCTTACAAAACAATCACACATAATCTGAGTACCATGTTTGACATGTGGTCCTCGCAGGAACTGAACTCGTCAGGTGATGGCAGAGGCTGGCACACGCTGGCATGACGTGCAAGACAGCACAGGTGGAACTTGTCTGTTACCCTTACAAAACAATCACACATAGTCTGAGTACAGTACCATGTTTGACATGTGGTCCTCGCAGGAACTGAACTCGTCAGGTGATGGCAGAGGCTGGCACACGCTGGCATGACGTGCAAGACAGCACAGGTGGAACTTGTCTGTTACCCTTACAAAACAATCACACATAGTCTGAGTACAGTACCATGTTTGACATGTGGTCCTCGCAGGAACTGAACTCGTCAGGTGATGGCAGAGGCTGGCACACGCTGGCATGACGTGCAAGACAGCACAGGTGGAACTTGTCTGTTACCCTTACAAAACAATCAATCAAAATCTGAGTACAATACAGGCGGGATTCGTTTGTCACATAGAAAAACAATTGCGTTCGTAGACGTTAAGCTTAATAACTAGTAGCCTAAGGTTTTAAAATTGGAATATTTAATACAATTTAACAATAGTTAAGTAGTTTTCCTTTAATTGTCATTGTTGCTTGTTTGGTTCAAACCAAGATTGATTCTGGGTTCAGATTAAATGTTTGTCTTTGGTGTATCAATTGATGTGCTGTATGATAAGAAGGTTGACGTTAGATAGTGACAAGACGAGGATTTGGACAGTTCCGCCACAAAACATTCCAACGGCGTAAACAAACACCGAATACAATCAAAACATCGATTGTAAAAATATAAATTAGCTGTCCTGTCCACTCACAGTCAGCTTGTATGTTTTGTAAAGTAAAATTTAAGAATTAACCACCAAAAGAGAGGAGGGGTCAAAAACATATTATTCTCTCGGAATGGATAGAGTTACAACATGTATAACAAAGAGCAGGCGATACTGTGTCACTACATGTTTCGTTAGTAATAATTTTAATGTGTCATAAACTTGAATTTCCAATGTTTCCAGTAACTTTATAATTATCTTAATAAGAAACTATTTAACAATAGTATTGATTATAATAATGCCAACACTATAGTACGATTAGCTAGCCCATTTAATTCGCTTTAATACGACATTTTACTATTTTTATTCCATCCTTTAATGGTAATTGATTCGAAAAAGTTAGTTTTAATTACATAAGTAAATTGATCGAAAGATAAATTTAACTAGTTTAACACCTTACACAACGTCTCAACAGTCTGTGATAATTATAAGTTTTGTCTGAGCTTGGTTTTTATATCATCTTCTAAACTTCATTAAACGTTGTTTTTAATCTCCACGTAAATATTTATTCAATTTAATTACTTTAATACCATTTATTTAATATTATAAAACATTGTGATTTCATGAGCAATTATAACATATTGTATTAAGTATGTCATATATTTATAAATAAGTATATAAAGAAAAGAAAACCACTAAAATATGTACTCGTTTAAATACTAACTATCAATCTATCATATACTTTATACAAAAACAGTTTTCTTTCTCATGGCTCTTTTCCAGCCGTACTACTTTTACTATTTTTTACTATTGAAGTGTAGTTTTAAAGCATTTGACCTAGTAGAGAGACGAATGGTAACTATAAAGGTTGCGTTTGATTTATTTTTATGGCTCACTTTCAAAGAATCAGTAATGCTGACCCACTTTCTTTATACAGGTTTAAATGTGTATTGCAATTTTACAGCTGATGGTGCAGTTGAATGTCAAAACGCTGTAGTAATAATAGAGATCGGTGGTCAAAACCAGCGATAAAACAGTCTAAGAAAATGGATTTTAAATAGACTACGTTGTGACCTGTTTAAGGCAGGACAGATTAAACAATTTAATTTTATTATGAATTTATAGTTTCGAAAAACTTTGAATCAATCCTGGTATCAGCAAGAAGAAGTTTGCATAAGGATAAAGGCGAGAGAAATATTTCCGACGGCGGAGCGATGTGGATATCTATGTCCTCGTAGCCATTTGATGGTCGCTGCTTCCATCAGGACTGCGCAGCTCTTATAGCTCGAAAATTCGTCCCTTCCAATTCAATTCATACAGGTGATTTTTAATGGGATTTAAACAATTTATCAAGTGACGAAGCTAGTTGTTTTGATCCAACCGAGAATAAATTACCAAAACGTAAAAATGTTCAATTCACTCACCAGTATCCTTTTGAAATAAGGTAGGCAACTTAGTTTATATTATATTGTTATAACTTACAGTTCATATATTTATTTATAAATAAGAGCCTTTAAAGGCTAATAGTTAGCTTTAATTTACTTCTAACGTAACCGTGAAAATGTACGTATTAAAATAGAAAACACAATGGCATTTTTCATTTGACGACCGTTCGCCTCTTGGACGTCTTCCTTGACAAGTAGGATAACATTACTGAAACAGTATAATAATAACTTTTAAAACTATACATATGACACATTCAACAATCAAATTTGTTATATGGTTGAGAAATACGAGTTTCAGAACGTCCGTGCTTTCATTGATACATTTATATCACTCATTCAAAACGTGTAATGAAATAAATCTGTATGTAAGGGATATACTTTTAGTAACAGTCATTTTGTATTTGCTATATATTTTATGAAAGTTCTAAACATACCAAATCCTACACTAATCTTGATGAAAAGTATTCATAATTGCAGGAATAATTGCATGGTTTGTTGTTTGATGTTGTAGGACAATACATTTGCCAAGCTAAGGCTAGTCCATAAGGACATCAGTTCAATACCACCTGGTTGATTAGTTTGCCCAGTGAACGTTTGCCAAAATAAGCTGCCATTGTTTAGGTGTCCGGAATGGTTTTGATTGGTTCAAAGGTTGATATCATCTGGGCAGGGTGAAAACGAGGGAATCTATTCCTATGTGTTTTGGACAAAACAGAAGACACAATCATACATAGTTAAATTTAATCCTTACGATAATTAATACATTAATAATGTAATATCGCTGAAGTATAACTAGTAGTACTTACAGTTTGTCAAGCGCTGGTACATTCCGAAACACTGTAGGTTCGATGTTCTGTATTTTATTTCCGTTTAATCCACTGGAACAGAAATGTATCATATTTGATCAACACAGATTTTTACTTATAATAAAACAACACCAAGAAATAGAAGAAAAAATTATCTATATAATTATAAATTTATTATCATTAAATTTACTATGAGTTTAAATTATTACGTTATTCAATTGTTATTAATTGGCTACATGCGTGTTCTTGATGTCCATTGAAGTTTACAGCTATATTAGGAGAAAGAGTCCTTTTAAAAATCTGTTTTCATCCCTTATCTCTTTAGGAGTATCATTAAAGTAGTTAATGAATAGTAAACATTGTTACAATTCGTATTTTACGGATTAAACTAGCCATGCTACCTTAAAGCCGCTATTTTATATGATGATTTCCTTGAACACAGACAGAATATTGCGACACACCTTCCTTTTAGTGAATTTCCCATAGTCATACCGTGTGTCTCAAAAGTTCCACCCACTGTTATTTTTTTATTAATAGAGATAATATTTAGTATTAGCAGATAAAAAACTTTGCAGTGTCTAACGGACTGTGTACAAATAGCTTTTGGTTGCTGCAGCGTGAACTTGTATGGCTGTTCGGACGTGTTTAGTCTAAAGCTATGGTTACACAGGATGCGGAATCTCTGCCGTGCGGTGCGATTTTTTCCGCTGCGGAATTACAACGACACTGGTTTAATGTTTTTCCCATGTGTGCGGTTCCACTGACGTGCGTTTCCGCATCCCGAATTTTCGGCTCTGCATGGCAGACAAATCATACTGGTCTGACCAGTGGCAGTGCGGATTCCGCCAGCGGAGAAGAGCCATCAATTATTATGACCGATCAATTTAGTTTCCTAACATTATTTCAATAACCTTATTCTTTATGGGGCTTGTATTTTTTATTCATGTATCAATAAAACTACAATTTAAGTTTAAATTGTTATTTTATTAATGTTTACTATCAGGGGATTTTTTTAAACTAGGTCTAACATCGGTTTACAATAAAAGCAACCACAATTTAAAGTAATTATGTCTGAATATTACCTAATATTATTTTATTGGATTATTTTTGTGGTATGTATTTATTAATACTGGCAGAGCACCCATCCTTCGTAAGGGGTTGGCATATATAAGTATAAAATGCTTATTGCAGTTATACTCAAGCTTTGCGTTTGCATTGGGGGAGGACACAGTTTGATAAAATTTGGTTCTTTAAATTTACCGTAAGCTATAGAATACCACATCTACCATATTCATAATGTTATACCACTGCACCTTAACAATAGAAAAAAATAAATTTTTAAACATTCGCAAAATATCACATACTATTCATCAAATTAAAAACATAAACATAACTGTAAACAATCTTACTTTGACAGTTCTCAGAGCCCGAAAGGATTTTTGAGATAAGAATATGTCTATACAGTATCGGGAATGTGAGCTATCATCATGCCAAATCAAAGCCAAGAGGCCTTTCCTCTTCCTATCAATACTCGTCTCTAGTTTGGGCAGAACTGAATTTCCGCAACGTTATTTCCGCAGTCAGTGGAACCACCCCTCCAGATTTAAGCTGCGTAATTTTCCGCAGCGAAAAATTACGCACCGCAAGGTGGAAGTTCCGCAGTTTTGTGGAACCATAGCTTAAGGAAATCTTCGCTGAGTGTGTCTCTGAAGGTGCCCCGTTACGTTAGAGGGAAAGCAGAATATGCAGATGATTGCGAGAATAACCATGTCAATTATGTTGTCATCTGGTGTCCCGCAGCTTCGAGCGTTATTCAGTATCGTTATGCACGAGGTGGATGTCTATTGCAGCTTCCTGAAAGAAGTGGTCATCTGCCGTCCAAAGGCTCTCAATATTTGTGAGGCCCTATATACAGGTAGTAATCGCAGTTAATATAGTTCAAAATCGGTGAAATTGACGGTGAATGTTCGTCCAATGCATTCGGTGATATTCTTGCGGTTGATCCAGTGGCTGTTGGATTACACTAAGTGTCCAAGAGTATTTTGGAAGTTATGGCATACCAGCAACGAAAAACAATAAAAAATATATATATATGATGATTGAGTATTTATGTTTCAGACAAGACAGGATTTAAAATTGACTTATTTTAAACTTTTAAGGGAGAAATGACCATTAATTTGAGAGAAAACTTTAAATCGGGAACTACTACTGCGCTGTTTCTTTACACAACTATTGATATGAAGATCCCAAATTAAGAGTTTCTCCAAATCCCTATATCTTTAAATTGATATGACTGACTTATGGGGACAGAGTTAAGTGTGTCACCCTGTGTATGAAAACACGCCAATGACCTCATCATTTTTAGGTAACATTTGCAATTACTCAGTAAGGATTTAATGATCTGTCAGTTTTAAAATCATTTTCAAGATATCCATCCTGTATAAAATTATTGACACATAATTCAGCTAAACTTGTGTTTTCTATTCATACTTGGTGATATATTCATACACTCTTGTTTCCAATATCGAGATTGTAGCATCAGAGGGAATTGTCTCACTCTTCACGCCTGCAATGAGTTCTTCACGTTGGTGAATATCAATGTCATTCGTATGAAGCACCGATCAGGGATTCAAATATGTTTTTCTTATCCTACCTACTCTTTAAACACTGATCCTGAAAATATAAACCAAGAAAAAATCTGTTGATAAGTATTATTTACATAAAAAGGAAAAATCTTAAGGTTATGAATCCCGAAACTTCAAAAAGTATCAGTCAGTGGAAACTATCGTACAGTTTACAAGATTTGCGAGATAGTATAACAGAATAAGTACAGCATTATATTATAGTTACAGTGAAACCTCGATAACAAGTCAGCCTGATAACGAGTGTCATTTTCAAATTCACTAGAATTTATTTTACCCCTAATATTGTAAACCTATTGCTATTGTAAACCTCTATAAGAATTCAACCTTTATAACATGTTTTATTTAATACTTCCCACGAGAGTCTTTTTATTGAGGCCCTACTATTTGTGCATAATGTTGTTATGACTCTCATACACTGGCGACAAAGTTTATTTGATTTTTTATAGTGTCTTTAACAGTATGGATTGGTTTCCTTTTATAATCTATCGATAATATAAAAGACAAAATAATGAATTGATCCTAACAAATTCTAAAACCACTATATCATATTTTAAATGACATTATAAAGGCAGTACGTACATACTCACATGAAGATAATATTAGGAACTCCTCGAAACGATCCTTGCTCAAGGTAATCTATAGCATTGTGGGACAGATCCCTGGAAACAAAATTGAAAGTTGAATTTTTCGTCTAATTGTATCCAAAAACTAGATTGTAGTTATACATTTTTGTTCACTGATTATAAATGTAATGAGAGGCTAGATACTCAATGTGCAAGAACTGTATCAGAAAACTGACTCATTTTTTCTCCCATTAGCTTTTCAACGAACCTATTATGGATAAGCGGTAGGAATCACTACGGTAGATTGGTTTTACCGACCACACATAATAATTATAACCTAACCTAACCTAACCTAAGGGTGGACTATGTTTTAGGTGAAGTTAGGTTAGGTTAGGAAGATTTTATTATTTAAAGTAATTAAAATCTTATTTGGAATTCGTTAAATTGGTGTGGTTGGTATTATACCAAAGTAGTGTAACTACATTTTATGGGTAAAATAATTGAAACGGATTTTTTACAGCGTTGGGGGCAAAACCATTTTGTTTAAAATTAGAATACGTACTAAAATTTAATAAAAATTGTTAGAGCACATTTTGTACATATGCATTTTTTCCATTATTTTATGTTTTTTTAATAGTACCGGGAGGCCAAGCCATGGCTCGGTATAGTTCATTTCGACTGTAAAATTAATATAAAGGAAACTCACCTTTTTTACCACTAATTTTGGTTTTTATTATTTATGTTCCAGTAGAATTTCAATTTATTATTATTATACTGCTTTCCAAATTATGTAGACTATACAAAAGAGTGCATACAAATTGTGAAATCTACATTTACATTAGGGTGAAACCTAGTTGATGCCAGTGCACATAAACGGCACCAATACGAAACACTCATCAACATTGACTTGATCTGTTTTCATCTATATCTAGTAATATTCAGTGTAATGTTTGCTGAATAGTTACAACTGATGTTTATTACTTTGTACTTTATTTACAGTATGCTAGTATGCTGTGGATAGCTTGTTATAAACACATGTTACATGTTTTTTGTTTTACTTTTTACTTGTTATTTTGTTGAACCAATATAGTTACTTGGCAACCCATAAGGCCAATGTTAATTTTTTAAACTTTCAAATGAGTTGTGTAGCGAAATGCGACTTTTCCTGAGGTAATAGCTGCCGTCAATAACGTTTTTATGCCTATAAATCCGTTATTCCAAAACTTAGTAAAACTGGATTCCGAGATATATATCACAGACAGATATATAGACAGACAGGCAGGTAGACTTTGCTCGTATTAGAGTATAGGATACAATTAACAAAGAAACTATTTAAACACTTTTAAATACAACTGGAGATACTATAGATTAGTACCCACATACCAAATGTAAAATTGGACAACAGGTGAAGTCTGTAGCCGGTAGCCTCCCTCACGCACACACACACACGCACACCAAAACACCAACACACACACACTCACACACACACACAACTAATATTTTAATAGATCAATAAGAAAACTCAATAAAAAAGAAAATTAAACTAAAAGACCATGTACCAACCCAAAATTGAAACATAACAATTCGTATGTAATTGATTTTAAATTAATGGTTATCGTTAGTATACCATCAAAGTTTATAGTGTCTTACACTTCGCTTCAATTTATATAATGATTTGAGGTGGAAGGATAGATTGTTAAACAGTCACGTTCTTTTGAAATGTATTAGGTTTTTATTCTAAATCAAACTTTGTCGGCATCGTCAAGACAGCTGTCTACCTGCCAACAAATATAATCAGGAACAGCCAAGAAACATAAAACAGTTCTTTGTTTGAGTTTGATAACAAGTTGTTTAAACATTAATTTGTTGGATTTCCTTATATAACTTGGGTGAATTTAGGCTGAAAGACAGTGAGAAGATAAAGTTAAAATTTAAAGTTAAAATATACTTTTCCACAACCATTACTCGGAACCACTAATCTTACAATATTTCTACCGAAGATTAAAAAAGTAAGGTATCGTGATCACATGAATTTAGTTATGTAGAACGTATAATTTATACGAAAAAAAAATTGTTGACATAAATTAAATGATTAAGACTTAACAAGTACAATGGGTAATATTAATATGATCAATATTAATTGGTCAATTGGTTAATTGGTTAATGCATTAAGTAAACAGTACACTAACAGTAAACTAATTACTCTGTACAATACATCCATATTGAGGTAACTCCTAATTACACTAAATGCAGGATTATAATATATAAAATGTTATGTACATTGGGTGGTAATGCTACTTTTTATTAGTGTTTTATGTGTATGTACTATTTCTTGATTAACACAAATATACACGTTCATATTATAAACACACGTAAATTTATACAGCACATTTCGATGCTTGGTAACTAATTTACTGTATTTTTTACAACGTAAGGCTATGAATCCCAGCCTCACCACTGGTACGGACCACAGATTTGTGATAATACGGAATTCAACAGAAAGTTGTTGATTTTGGAGAACATCCCTCGTAAAAAATAATCACATTAGAAAAACAAACAATTGTTTCTTGTCTGACCAGCATTCTTCTCATCTTCATCGCTAGACAATATAAGATAGTTGTAGATAAATAACCTTTTAACTAATGTCTCGTATATACATAAATATACTGTAATTGTTGTCAACTCACAGTCCAATGAGACTTCTGAGGCCCACAAAAGCACCTGGCTGTATGAGGGCAATACGCTGGTGGCTCAGGTCCCTGTTGGAAATCAAACTGTTAAAATAAATTAAATGTTACAATAAATCTTATATTCAGGGGTTTTACATCTTTGGTATTCATAATTTAAACATGATTACATAGTGTTGGTTAGTCTATGATTACACCCACTCAGACGCTCATGTATTCATTGTGATCTAATAAACTGCATTGTTTATCTTGCCGTTTAACTTAATTGGAAATGGTTTAGTTGATAAAACGATGTACAGTATATGATTGAGTAAGTCAACAGCACGGCAATTATTCGAAAGAGAAGAATTTAATAGAAGTTTAGAAAAAAAATGCAAAAGGATGATACTTACAATGTTTTTAAAGATGTCAGTCCGTAAAATGCAAGTGAATGCAAAACCTTTAATTGATTCCCTTGAAGGTGTCTGTAACAATACAAACCATTGATATGCAACATAATTTTATTCCGCTATATTGTTGAGCGGTGGAAACGAAGCTCTCCTATATAATATTTAGAATATTCTGCATTTCACCATACTTACAAATTCTTCATAGACGGCTTAAGCAATCGTTTTCAAAATTTTCTTGGTGAGTTCCAACAGCGTTAAGAATTCTTGTAGGAATCCGTTCCCCGGGCCTTAAGGTTTCAATCCTTGCCGCTGCTTGGTGGTGCTGGTGCCAGCAACTGATCACCAGCGGTTGACGAGCAGCCTAGTATGGCCCGTGCTTTAAGGAAGCAGTATTTGACACACAAGCAAAGGCATAAGATCAGCTGTTTACTTTTAAATGCGGAATACCAGGAAATAGCCAATATGGTGGACCACCTGACTTGACCTTCAAAAATTCAAATAACTCCATCGTTTTTCGACTGATTTTGATAATTCTTTTATAGTTGAAAAGAAGAAGAAATTAGCTTTAAGAGTCTCCATCACACTTATAGTGATATCCCGTTTAAAAAAAGTGATAAATTAGATATTAATAAAGATTTTACTTTTAAAACGGATTAAACATACGTTGACGTGATTATATTTGAGTTTTTACTGACGAAATATGTCCGAAATCAACCTTGTATCTGCCTGTGATTATATTTGAGTTTTTACTGACGAAATATGTCCGAAATCAACCTTGTATCTGCCTGGGTTACAAACACGTAATTATCCTTTATCATTTACCAAATCAATTGTCAATAACCAAAATCTTATAATTTGTAATTTAATAATCCATATATTATTAATTTTATTAATTTACAACGAAACATAATTGGAGAAGGCATGTTCGACCCTGCTGAGTACGAAATTGCGTGTTGCCAAAGCGAAATTTGAACCGGAAGTGCGGTATCCAAGATGGCGGCCAGACCCTGTTTGCCTCATTACTCTTTTGTTATTTGGCTTAAAATATTGGTTTAAACATCTATATAGGGGATAAATAAATCTATATAGGGGGCAGGAATTAATTAATTGTGATGAATATTGGGAGAACCGATAATTTTTGGTTGTTTGAACAATCATCCAACTCCATTTTTCTTCATCAATTAATTTAATTATGAGATAGACTTTTTCATAGGGAAAAGTTGTCAAACAGATATAGAAGTTTAGTTGTTTAACTAGTTGTGTTGTAAAACTAGTGAACGCTCGTTTCACCACAAGTAATTAGCGAACTTTGGTGTGTTAATAATCAGTTGCGGAAAATGCTCAATCCTGCAGAAATCTCATGCACATTTTGCAACATAAAACTACGCCACTAACAATGACACATAAATAAAATAAACTGTTGAATATATGACTAAAATACATAATTTTGATGTGAAAACAACAATTAGACCCGGTTTCCCCAAAATGGTGTAACCTTAGTTTATATAAACTAGTTTATTTTTATAAACTCCGTTTAAATTGTGTTTTTGGTTTCTCCAACACTTTACTGACTTCGTTTAAGAAAAAACGAATGGAGCGGTCGGCAAAGCTGAATATTCAATTTTGTTTGTAAAATGGAGCAGACAGCTAAGTGCAAACGCTTAGACTGACACCACTGTTTTAAGTTATCTGATAAAGTTGATTTTTATTTTAAATACATAACAAGAAGAATTTGTATTTGTAATTACTATTTGTACGAATATTTGTAATTATTCAGAAGGCAAAGCGGTAATCTTGCATAATAAGGTGACCATGAGAACCTATAGTAATTTAAATATCACCAGAAATTGGATTTTTCTTGAAAACAATGGTGTACATATTTTTTTGCGGACACAGAAAAAATTACTCAAACAACAATCTTTTCATTTTTTTTTATTTTCTATTTAGGATCATTGACCCTTCAATATTTACACACTAAAATCTATGTCAATAACCTAATTCACATTTATTGATTATATGTAATTAATTTTAAAGTAAATATTGCACTCAAAACCGATACTTAGAAAGGTAACGTTAATTGTAGTATCTATATATATAATACGCTAAGCCGATTTTTGTAAACAGAACTCCTCCCTCATTTTTGGACCGATTTTGATGATGAAAGTATCAAAAGAATTGCCCTGATCCGTAGTTTTGCAAAGTGTTTTTTTTTAGCTTTTTTGATATCTTTATTAGTTTGGGCATGATCTTTCTCCCATAAGAGTAACATGGGGGAATCTAAATATTTAATTTATCTTGGTCTATAACTCATAATAACTCGTACAATTATTTCTTATTGAACTATCTTATATCTATTTTACGGTTGGTGTCTGCCTTTCTCACACCTTTTGCCTATATTTTATCATATTATTCTAGACAGATCATCATAGGTTCATGAGATTATTGTCATACATGCTTTCATTCATTGGAAAAATCTTCGATTGTGTAATGCAATACAAAATAATACAAGTGCAGAAGGGCACGGTGCCCACTTGAGCCGTGTCCACATTTTGTTAAATTAATAGTGGTTTACAGCAACAGGATAAAACATTTTACTATATTTATGTAGAAATATGTGCATGATTTAGAAAGTCATTAATTTGGAAAACTGCAATATACTGCAGACTTTTCAAAAAGGTTACTTCGATGTCCATTGTTGTATTCATTCAGCTAAGTGAAAACATAATATACATATGTATACAAATGAGAACTTGAAATCTCTGAGAGCCCGTTGAATGTTATTAGACTAACGACAAGGGTTGTGCATGTTTACTAGCGCTACTCAGCAACAAAAACCATTTAATTTATCTCTAAAATATATGTTCTTAAAGTGCACTGAGAAGCAGCCTAAAAATCCAGGTAACTTACCCATATAATATAGTTACAAAACGCTCAAACTCGCATTGTAACATTTATAATTTGGCTTATATATATCCAACAGAAAATTCATCTGCAGAAGAATTTACTGTGCTCTTACCGTGTCTAATAACATCCAAACACAGACACATTGTCTAAAATGGTACCTATCTTGACAAACTATTTCCAGTGGCCTATATTACGGACCGTGGCGCACTGGGTTGGTAACATTATTGAAAATAACACGACATTTTGGCTGTAAAAATAGCGCAATGAGTAAATACTATTTAAGCAGCTACTGTCATGACAGGAAGGTCGTATTCCTTTAAAACTAGATTACATCATCCTTTATAAGATACGTTGATTAAAAATGCATGTAAACGTCAATATTTACGTAACAAACAATTTACAGTATTTTTTGCTTTTTTGGAAATGCCACATTGCTATGTTATTTACATTATTTGCTGCCAATGAAGCCGCACGACCATGTAAACGAGGAGGCCCCAGTTTAAGAATAAAAGCCAACTTCAAGTATATTCCACTACACACTACACCTAACATTCCGTAGAGTGATTATATTGACAACTTTACTGACATGCCCCATGTCAATGAATTATAGCTTTAACAGTAACCTCACAACCAATTTCTCAAAACTATGATAGAGGGTTGTTCATTGGCACAGAAGTAGGATATGAACTGACCCGACGTGACGAAGGGAAAATCACACTGTAACGGATATACCTCCCTTTGAAGTTAGATCGTGTCCTCCCATCAAACAGACTTTTTCAAATAAAATCATAGATTAATCTCATTACACTGATGAAATCACGGATGTGTTTAACTAAAAAGATCCACCAATACGATTTTAATACTATTTAAAGGTTCTTCCAAAGGAAGAGATACCAGATAACATACTAATAATAACTCCGATGACGTACGGTACGGGAAATATTTTATTCGTCAACCATTTTTTGGTTAATATCATTATTGTTATTACACTTATTACTCTTTAAACCAAAAACAATGCTTAATGCTCAAAATATGTATAATGTCATGTCACTCAATTTATCGCAGTTAGATGAATTAGCCTTGAAAGTAATCGTCGATTTCGACGGGTTTCGCCTAATATGTTATATTTGATAAAAATTAAGATTAATTCAATCGTCTCTTGGTCGGAAGTATTTTATCTGGACTGGATTATAAAACAAAATGTAGGAATACATTTAGTTTGGTTCTTCACTTCACATCACCGAGTCTCTTAACTTTTTTTACCATGTAACCCTTATGTCTCATCATGACAATTGTGTAACTTATTGGCATAGACTAGCCAAAATATTTAATGACAAAACTTCTTTGATAAAATGGATACATTACAAATTAGCACTGTTCTAACCTAACCTAACCCAATCAAACTTCTCGAATAGATAAAAATTCGTTTTTAAATTTTCTGAAAAGTCATGTGAGAAAGGTAGGCCGGTTTTTATGCGAATGCGTGACAGTATTAAGTCCTTTGAAGCTAGTTTAGATTAGGTAAGTTATAGTTTAGGTTATAATGAACCTAAACTTTACTTTCCTAGTCTAACCTAACTTCAAAATACTTAATACATTTACGAATCCGCATAAAACGCAAACTACCTCCCTCACATGCCCAAAAAGGTAGTCAATGCTCAGTGGCACTTATACAGTATATGCCCTTACTGCTTTGATTTTATTTTCCTAAGTTTCTTCTTTTCATCCATCAATCCTAGTTTGTACTTTGTTTGCAAATTGCAGTAAAGGCGACAGAGACAAGTAGACAAGAATTACAACTAAATAATAAAATTCTAACGATCGTAGTTTATTTAGTTTCTGTTTCCGCAGAAGGATTTTCGCATCATTGTTTTTCTTTGTAAAGACCCTTTCCCGTTGTGGTTATTCAGCTTGAGGACCTCCGGGCGATTGCATTTTTACATGTGTACAGTCTATGGCACCAACACAGTTATAGGAAATCGTGCCTTAGTGTAAAGCCCTATTTTCACGCTTTTGATTTATTCATCGGTTGTGCCATTTTAATGATATTGAGACCAACACCAACATTCTGAATCCCTCAAAATATTTTCATTCATTTCACTTGTTAAAATGGTCAACTCTATATCCTTTATGACGTCTTGTTCTAGGCACTGCAATGTTACCCTTCATCT